ACACACACACACACACACACATACACACACACGTGAGAATTATATATGCATGGGGAAAATGTCTGAGTACAACACACGACCTGGTTAATAGTAGACATGATAGGGGAGTAGAATTAGAAGGGAATCAGCAATTTTCCTCTCCAATGTTTGACTTTCTTATGATGAGCTTGTATCACCTCATTCTTTCTCTCCTTGAATGTTTAAACATTTTCACTGACTGAACCGAGAAACTGAACTAACTGAACTAAGAAACAGGGAGTGGGTGATTAAGTAGCCTTTTTGTGGGAACGTGACAGAAAAACAGAAAGGAAGACTTCTAATGGGTTGTTTTGTCAGAGATACTACCAAAAATAAAAGAAGGTAGAATAGCCCCAGGTTTACATAACAGCTTCTGGCTCCAAGGATTTGACATACCATATTTGGCCACAAAATATCTATTGATCTTAGGACCAAGAATAATAAGAGTGTTGCTTGCTGCAAAATCCTATCCAATATCCTGATGTCTTTAACTACTTAGCACTTGGTAAATCTACTGGACTGTATATGGCAAATGCATCTATACAATAAGAAAATTTAGAAATTGGGCCAGGAGCAGTGGCTCACGCCTCTAATCATAGCACTCTGGGAGCCCAAGGCGGGAGGATCACTTGAGGTCAGGAGTTTGAGATCAGCCTGAACAAGAGTGAGATCCTGTCTCTACTAAAAAGAGAAAAAACTAGCCAGGCATGGTGGCACGTGCCTGTAGCCACTCAGGAGGCTAAGGCAGGAGGATCACTTGAGCCCAGGAGTTTGAGGTTGCAGTGAGCTATGATGATACCACTGCACTCTAGCCCAGGCAACAGAGCAAGACCCTGACTCCAAAATAAGAAAAAGAAAAAAGAAAATTTAGAAATTGAAAGCCGGATGGCATCTCAAGGGCATAAAGGATCATGGATCCAGCCCCGATGCTTTCAGGGTAATGTTTCAACACTCCAAGATGATGGAGTAGCCTCAGGCAACCTGTTAGAGTTATTGATATATGCAACATGGATCAATACATCCCAAATACATTATGATAACTGAAAGACGCCAGACTGAAAGGCTGCACACTGTATCATTTCGTTTACATGACATTCTGTGAAACATAGAACTGTAGGAACAGGAAACAGATCGGTGGTTGCCAGGGCCTAAGGATGGGGGTACGGAATTGATTACAAAAGAGCTTGAGGGAATTTTGGGAGGTGATGGAAATATTCTGTATCTTGATGGTTACTTGACCGTATACATTTGCCAAAATTCATAGAACTATATACCTAAATAAGATGAATGTTTTTGTACATAATATTTCAACAACCTAATCTAAAAAAAATGTTTCTGGTAAGACTGTGTGCATGCAAAGAAACGCAGATTTTGTCATTTTTTTGCTGGAGAATCTCACATTTTAATAAATGTCAGCAGTTTACAGGGGGGAATAGGCAGTTTCCCTGCTCTCACCTTCATTTCCACTAGTGGCCTGAGCTCCATCAGGCACAATGATCTTCCCACTCAGGAAGAACCAAGGTTCAGGGAAAGGGAGATGAGGTGATGGGGTTAAGCTGCAGACCCGTTCTGTGGGCAGAGCGAGGGCTGGGTAAAGCCACATGGGTTAGCCCCGAAGCAGCTCAGTCACTCTCCCAATTAATTATCTGTCTGATTCACGAGTTGTGGTTCTTGTGGGCACGCTTCCTGGCCATTCGTGCCAACGAGGGCAGAAGGATTCTTGGGGCTGGGAGGGGATGATAACCAGAGATCCCAAGTGGGGTGGGGAGCTGCGGAAGAGCAATTTCTATTAGGAAATTCTAGAGTCATACCCAGACTCCCCCTCCTTACTGTCACCTCCTTGCCCCATCTTATGGTCTCCCCAGGAGACCTCCTCCACTTCTCACCTTTGCCCTCACAGTAAAGGAGAATGTTGCCCTCCTGATGGCAATGTTGCTCCTCCCAGAAGGGAAAAAAGGGCACAAACTTCACAGAGGATCCCTTGAGTTTCCGGCACCCTCAGATCAGAGGTGCAAATGGTGCCACAGGACAGGGGTCCAAATGGCCAAAGAACACTTGGTCTCAGCTGTACTTCGTGTACCCTCCAGAACATTCCGACAGAGCACCCGAGGATCTTTACTGAATGAATGCAAATATTCAAACATTGGCTTTCTTGAGGTGAGGCACGTCACCTCCAGAAGCCTTTTCGTAGACATTTATTTTGCTGCCTGTGTGCCAGGCACTGGGCATAGACTTTTGAATGAAACAGACATGTCCCACTCACGGAACTGGAAATCTTGCAGATGCCGTTTACCTTCCTCCTTTCCCAGAGACAGGGCTTGAGATTTTCTCATAGATAGAGCGTCTCTACTCCTTGGCCTCTTCTGTGGATTCTTGTTGGGTCGGAGTGGCTGAGGTATGCCAAACCACCCACGAGAAAGGGTTTGAAATAAGAAGGGCCCCCTCTCACAGAGGTGTGGGCAAAAGGACCCCAGCGGTCTCACTCTGGGAGCCTGGCTAGTGCTCATGCATGAAGCAGTAACAGCTCTTGCCTCCAGTACACGGGAGACCGCATGGATGGGAAGAATAATGACAAGAGTAGTTGCTGTTTACTGAACACTTATTTTGTGCCTTTGTCTCATTTAATCAACATAATCACAGAGTTATTGTTTTCTCCACTTTACAGATGAGGAAACTGAGGAGCCAAGAGATTAGGTAACTTACTTAAGGTCACACAGCCAATAAGTGGCAAAGTCAAGAACCAAACCTACATCCGACTGGCTTTAGACCATAGCTGTTCCTTCCCCCAGCTGACAAGCTTTCCTCTCATGTTTTTCCAAGACCTGAGGATTCCAGCAGAGGGTTTCCACTGGAGAATTTCTAAGATATAAAGTCCGGAAGAGAGATAAACACCTCAGCTCAGAATTAAACAAGTTAAAATAAAAACCTAAATATGGGGAAGCCACAAAACCCAATACTTCTTGGGTGAAGCTAAAAAGATCATCTTTCTACATAAAATCAAAAAAACTTAATGCTATCCCCCCAACAACCTTTCTTCTACCCATACCAGACCCTCCTACTTTAGGACAGCCTCTCTGTGCCATTCCCAACCCCACCCAGTTCTTTCTGTGTCCCTTCAACACTTTGTGTCCAAACACAACTCCACGCTCATCCCACAACCTGCTTCCCCAAGGATCTAATGATATCTGCAACCCTGCTACCAACGCTGGGATAGCAGATGGAAAAATGATAGAATCAGCCTGGTGGGGGGTGGGTATTACTCTGGAAGTCTGATTCTAGAGCCCCTGCTCTTAAATAGCATTTTACCCCGCCTCTCAGAGGGGGTCTGGGGCTAGTTCAACATAACCCATCACCACTCCTGGAATCACCCCCATCACAAGATAAATCTGTGAACAGATCTCCTAAATGATCGTTAATGCAAACTTAAGTACGTCGGTGCAGTAGAATCCTACATGGATCATTACAACTGGGTGAACCAGACCAGCATAAGAAATACTGGGGCTCCAGAGAGATTGGGGATAGGGAGGGAGACACGAAAATAATATATACGCTCTTCATCTTCACTAACATGGAGCCAACCACCATGCTAGGCACTATCTTATGTTACCTCATTACCTCTAAAACTGTAAGAAAATATAATGATTACACTCAGAATTGAACTTAGAAAACTGTGGATGTAAAAATTTTTTAAATGAAAGCAAAAATTGTTTTAAGTTCGTGGAAGCCGGCATCTCCGCAGGAGGAAGCTGAGTTGCCCTGCATCTGACCAAAGGCTCTCCCATCTCCCAGGGCAAGATGCTGGAGACTCGTATTTCCGTGCAAAGGCTCACCGCAGGCTAACGATACCAGGTGACCTGTTTAGTCTCTATCACGCGGGAAGTTCAACAATAACTTGAATAGCTCCATATACATCGACTGCAACTCTTCCAAGATATCCTTACCCTGTCTAGTATCTGACTGTACATACATAGAAGAGTCTTGAAGGTGATCGTCAAAGTATTTTAGAATAGTTTATCTTTAAAATAGACTTATCAATAAATCTTCACCTTAAAAACAATTCCTTCTACAGGGTCTAAATTGCTTTATGAGTACTTTATAAAAGGACATACATGTACTCTTGTGGCGTCCTCAGAAAGGAGCGGCCCCAGGGGACCAGGAGCCAGAGCCCCCGCCAAGCAAGATCCCCAGGGGCTCCGGAAAGATGACGGGCAGCACCCCAGGGTTGTGCCCGCTCTAGCCCTCCATCCCTGACCCCAGCAACAAAAAGGCCGAATGCCGCCTGCCCCAGCGGCTGACGGCGGGCGCGGCAAACGGAGACAAAGGCAGGGATGCAAGTCAGCCCAAGGGAGCCCTGTTGTGGCTCCCCGCATACACTAGAGATTTTGGGGGTGCAAGGTCTGTCCCGGAAGCAGAGGCACCGCTGCCACCGGGGACACTGGAGGAGGCAAAGCCCTCATTCTGCTCCAAAACATTCCTGCAGGGAGCCACCAAGTTAAAAAACAAAACAAAAAAAACGAAAACTTGGAAGAAAGTGTAACACTCGGAGAAAAAGGAAATGTTGAGTAACTGGCAACCCCGCGCGCGCGCACGCTCTCACTGGAGCAGCTACAGATGCATCCCGCGGCCAACGCGCGGGAACAGCCCCGGGAAGCCCCACCTCGCCTCGGCTACCCCGGCCAGTCTCGGGCGTCTTCCTTAGCTCGGCGGGGACCACCCGCGACGCGCGCACTGGAGCCGAACGCGGGGCTCAGAGACTCGCCCATCGCACTGCGCGCGTCGAGGCCGCCCGGGGAAGGCGCGCGACCTGGCTGACAGCTTCGGAGTCCCGAAGGACCCGCCCCGGGGCCGGGAGGGTCCCCAGCACTCCGAGCGCACGCCCGCGGGACCCGCCCGCGCGGGTTTCGCGGCTCCAAGCCTGCAAACTGGACGGCGATGCGGATCCCGGGAGAGCCGCGTCCCCGCGGCGCGGGAGCCTCACTCACCCCCGATGCCGACGCCCGCCAGCGCCCCCAGCGCCAGCAGAGCCGCCCAGAGCCGCCCGGGCTGCGGCCGCGCTCGCATCTCGTCCGCCGCCCGCCGCGCGCCGCCGCCCCCAGGCAAGCAGCGCTGCCGCGGCCGCTTTTCCCGCAGCGGGAGGGGAGGGGACGCGGTGGGTGGGACGCAACGGGGCGGGCCGCGGACTCGAGCTTCCTCCCCTCGGGCCCTTTTCTGGACCCTGCGCCGGAGAGGGAGCGGTGGGGAACCGCGACTCCTGTCAGTGCCTCGCCTCCGCCCACCGGGATCCGCCCGCGAGCCAGCGAGGCCAGGCCGGCCCGGAGCGGGGCCGCGAGTGGGGATCCCGGTCCCGGGGTCCCCATCTGGGCAGTTGGCACGCTCAGAAAGGCCAGAAGCCTGTGGCCCCTGCCTGGACCCTTCCAGTCCCACCTCCTCGGAGACACCCACAAGGCTCTCCGTTTCACCTGGATTCTTGGGGCATTTTCCCTCAGTACCTCCAGTTTCATTCATTCGCACTTTCATTCATTTAACTGACAGCCATCTATGGAATGCCTTCTCTGAACCTGTTCAGTCCTTTATTATTCACTCATTTTTTTCTTGGGTTAGTTTAGTTTTCCGGTACACTGTAAGCTTCCTGAGGACAAGACCACATCTCAAGCTGGCATAAAGCGGTGATAGGTCCATGAAGGGCCTCTCTCTGCAAATACTTCTTGCACCTAGCAGGTGTCTGATGGACGTTTCCGAACACAGCAAATTGCCTCCAAACTCAAACTCACAGGCTTTGGAGCTTTATCTGATTTTCCTCAAAGGCCTCCTGCCTGCTGCCTGAACACTTAACCCTCACCCCAATCCTTCCTCTACGTCCCTGGATCTCTTCCAGACTGGAAACCTCTGGAAACTCAGGGAGGCAAAATATTCTACCAGGGCTGTGAGCAAGAGGCCCCCAGGAAGTGGCTGGGCAGTGCAGCCTGCCTAGATGGGTAGCTCGGATGCTGCTAAACAAGGCCTGAGGCGTCAGTTTTGAGGCAGCTGAAAGTCTCTCTAGCTCCTGGGCTTCCACAGGGCTTTCACCCTTATGGTGAAAAAGCTGTGCCCCTGGGCTTTCCTGTGGCCTCTCGGTGTGCCCAACCTCTCCCCAGACACGCAAGGTGCCTGACAACTGGCCCTGACCCACTCTCCAGCCATATCTCCCACCCTATCGTTTGGAAATGATACTTGTCATTCCCAAACGCTCCATGCCTTTCTGTCTGACTGATCATTCTTCTTCCTTTTTCCACTTGGAAAATTCCACTTATCTTTCAAAACATCTCAGATGTCATCTCTTCCATGTAATTTTGTCTGACAACCCCCCTCCTCCAGCCCTACCCTCTGCCAAGCTGGGCACTCTCTCCTCAAATCTCCCAAACACTAGAATACACGTTAATAGCAGCACATATCAGCAGAAGTGTCACTCACAATTTGCAAGGGGACAGTGGAAGAGCCAGCACTGCAAAGGGTGCCTAGGCCCTCTGACCTGGGCCTTGACACTCTGGCTCCATCTACCTCCCCTGCCTGCAGAGGGCTTTTAGGCCAGAGGTATTTTATTAGTAACAGTGTTGTCATTGCTTTGGAGCAAAGTCCAGCTCCACACAATGTGTTTTCATCTCTGCCTACATATTTACTTACTTGCTCAAATCCCATATTTATAACCAATCTCCAACCACCTAGGTGTTTCCTCAGCTTAGATCTGCTGGCACCAGCCACTTACTTGGGGTGGGCACTGGCCCCAGCAAATATACTAAGTCCTCAGCTCTAGTCCAAGCCCTGGCAAACATGCCACCACCATGCAAGAGTCTCTTCCCTGCTGAGCTCCCATACCTAGGAAAAGCGAAGGGGCTAGTCCATTTATATTTAGTATAATAATTGATGGTTGTGTTTACATCTGCCCCCTTGTTGTTTGTCTCATGTTTTTTGTTTCTCTGTTTCTTCTTTTCTGTTTTCTTTTGGGATAATTCTTTTTTTTTTTATTTCAGCATATTATGGAGGTACAGATGTTTAGGTTACGTATGCTGCCCTTGCCCCTCCCTCCCGCCCTAAGTCCGAGTTTCAAATATGTCCATCCTTCGGGTGGTGCACATTGCACTCTTTGTGTATGCATATTCCCGTGCCCTTCACCCTCCTTTCCCCTCCCCCCTCCCCCCTGCCCAACATCCAATAGATGTTATTCTTATATGTGCACTTATGTGTTGATCAGTTAATACCAATTTGATGGTGAGTACATGTGGTGCTTGTCTTTCCATTCTTGGGATATTTCACTTAGTAGAATGCGTTCCAGCTCTATCCAGGAGTATACGAGAGGTGCTATATCACCATTGTTTCTTAAAGCTGAATAGTACTCCATGGTATACATATACCACATTTTATTAATCCACTCATGTATTGATGGACATTTGGGTTGTTTCCACATCTTTGCAATTGTGAATTGTGCTGCTATAAACATTCAGGTGCAGGTGTCTTTCTTATACAGTATCATTTGGTCTTTTGGGTAGATGCCCAGTAATGGGATTGCTGGATCGAATGGTACTTCTACTTGTATCTCTTTAAGGTATCTCCACATTGCTTTCCACAGAGGTTGCACTAGTTTGCAATCCCACCAACAGTGCATGAGTGTTCCTATCTCTCCGCATCCACGCCAACATTTATTGTTTTGGGACATTTTGATAAAGGCCAGTCTCACTGGAGATAAGTGATATCTCATTGTGGTTTTAATTTGCATTTCCCTGATGATTAGAGATGTTGAGCATTTTTTCATATGTTTTTTGACCATTATTCTGTCTTCTTTTGAAAAGTTTCTGTTCATGTCCTTTGCCCACTTTTTGATAGGGTCGTTTGATTTTTTCTTGTTGATTTTCCTGAGTTCTAAGTAGATTCTGGTTATCAGCCCTTTATCGGATTTGTAGCATGCAAAAATTTTCTCCCATTCTGTAGGTTGTCTGTTTACTCTTGTGACAGTTTCTTTTGCTGTGCAGAAGCTTTTTAATTTGATCAGGTCCCATTTATTTATTTTGGTTGTTGCTGTGATTGCCTTTGGGGTCTTCTCCATAAATTCTTTGCCTAGGCCAATGTCTAGAAGAGTATTTCCAACATCTTTCTCTAGAATTCTAATAGTTTCACTCCTTAGGTTTAAATCTGTTACCCAGCGTGAGTTGATTTTTGTGAGAGGTGAAAGGTGTGGATCCTGCTTCAGTCTTCTACATGTGGCTATCCAGTTTTCCCAGCACCTGTTATTGAATAAGGATTCTTTTTCCCAGTGTATAGTTTTGTCTGCTTTGTCAAAGATTAAGTGGCTATATGAGGACGGTTTTGTATCTGGGTTCTCAGTTCTGTTCCACTGGTCAATGGCTCTATTTTTGTGCCAGTACCAAGATGTTTTGATTACTACAGCCTTATAATAAAGTTTGAAGTCTGGTAAGTTGATACCTCCCATTTTGTTTTTATTGCCTAGAATTGTTTTTGCTATGCGGGGTCTTCTCTGGTTCCATACAAAGCGTAAAATCAATTTTTCTACATCTGTGAAGAATGATGTTGGTATTTTAATAGGGATTGCATTGAATTTGTAGATCACTTTGGGTAGTATAGACATCTTAATGATGTTGATTCTACTGACCCACAAGCACGGTATGGTTTTCCACCTGTTTACATCCTCGGCTATTTCCTTCCTCAATGTTTCATAGTTCTACCTGTAGAGGTCTTTTACCTCCTTAGTTAAATATATTCCTAGATACTTTATTTTCTTTGTTGCTACTGTGAAGGGAATTGAGTCTTTGATTTGGTTCTCGGTATGACTGCTGTTGGCGTATATGAAAGCCTCTGATTTGTGTGTATTGATTTTATATGGGATAATTCTTTTTTTCCTCTCCTGACTTCCTAGCTACACATCTTCTTTGTGCAGGGTGTGTGTGTGTATGTGTATGCATGTGTGTGTGTTTGCTCTAGGGATTATAATATGCCTCCTTAATTTATCATATATAGTCTACCTTGAATTAATATTGTGCCATTTCATGTAAAACATAAGAATTATAACAATATAATTCTGGGAACACAACCCCATCCTCTATGCTATTATTGTCATATATTTTACTTCTAAATGCACAGTAACTCACAATATAATTTTTTAAATTTTTGCTTTAAACAGTTGCCTCTTTTTTTATTTTTTTTTTTGAGACAGGGTCTCACTCTGTCACCTGGACTAGAATGCCATGGCATCAGCCTCGCTCATAGCAACCTCAAAGTCCTGGGCTCAGCCTCCTGAGTAGCTGGGACTATAGGCTCGCGCCACCACACCTGGCTACTTTTTCTATTTTTAGTAGAGACCGGGCCTCGCTGTTGCTCAGGCTGGTCTTAAACTCCTGAGCTCAAGCGATCCTCCCGCCTCAGCCTCCCGAAGTGCTAGGATTACAGGCACGAGCTGCCGCACCCAGTGCAGTTAGTTGCCTCTTAAATAAATTAAATAAGGAGATAAAAAATAGCCATTTAAGTTTACCCACATAGTTTACATTTCTGCCGTTCTTCATTTCATCCTCTAGTTTTGAGTTTTCATCCGGTATCATTTTCCCTTTAGCCTGAAGAACCTCAGCAAATTTTGAAATGAAAGACTACTGGAAGCAATTATGTTCAACTTTCATTTGTTTAACCCTCATTTTCAAGAATATTTCTTAGATATAGATTTTCTGGTTGACAGGGTTTTTTCCTTTCAGTACTTTAAAGATGGTCCACCGTTCACGGGCCTCTATTGTCTCTGACAAGAAGTCCGCTATCCTTTATACTCTTGTTTCCCTGCCTTCTCCTTCTGGCTTTTTTCTTTTTAACTTTTTATTTTGAAATGATTCATACTTACAGAAAAGTTGCAAAATACTGAAGAGAGTTCCTTTATATCCATTACCCAGTTTCTCCTAACGTTCACATCTTATATTTCCACATCATAAATATCAAACACAGGAAATTGACGTTGATACAATACTATGAACTAATTTAGTTGCAGAATTGGAATTTTTCCAGTTTTCCCGCTAATGTCCTTTTTTCTGGTC